TTTATTTTCAGGCGAAAAAAAATAAAAAAATTTCAAAATTTAAATCTAATATTCACGTTTTTTGAGAAATTTTTGAGGTTTCATGGCCCGGTTTAGAAAAGTATTTATATTTTAGCGGATACATATCGGGGGTCCTATAATGTCGTTTGGAACTATATATGACCATTATATGTTGTCACAAATGTTCGTAGTAGGTTTAAGTTTATGAAATCCGTGCAAGTTGTAAACTGGTAATTAAATTTGCCGTTTAAAGTCAAATTGGATGGTTCCACCAACCCATTTGGATACCTGGAGGATATAAGAGATCATATTAAACATTTTGGCTATTTTTTTTTTCTGGGTGAAAAAAGTCAAAAAATTCCAAAATTGTAGACTAATATCCAAGCTTTTTAAGAAATTTTTGAGGATTCGGAGACCGGTGTTGAAAAGTCCTGAAATTTTAAGGGATACATATCGGGGTCATATAATGCTGTTTGGAACCAAACATGATCATTATTTGTTGTCATAAACGTTCGTGGTGGGCTTGAGTTAATGAAATCGGTGCAAGTTGAAAACTGGTTAATTGGTCGTTTAAAGGCAAATTGGATGGTTCCACCCACCCAATGGGACTCCCGGATGGTATTTGGGATCGTGGTAAACATTTCGGCAGTTTTTATTTCTGGGCGAAAAAAGTCAAAAAAATTCCAAAATTGAAGACTAATTGTCCACGTTTTTTGAGAAATTTCGGAGGTTTCGGGTCCGGTGTTGAAAAGTCTTGAAATTCTACTGGATACATCTCGGGGTCATATAATGTCATTTGAAACCATATATGATCATTATATGTTGTCATAAATGTTCGTAGTAGGCTTGAATTTATGAAATCCGTGCAAGTTGTGACCCGATATTGGCCGTTTAAAAACAAATTGGATGGTTCCACCCACCCAATTGGACTACCGGAGGGTATTACGTACCGTAGTAAACATTTCGAAAATTTTTATTTCCGGGCGAAAAAAAAGTCAAAAAATTCCAAAATTGAAGGCTAATATCCACGCTTTTTAAGAAATTTTGGAGGTTTCGGGGCCCGGTGTCGAAAATTCTTTAAATTCTATGGGATATATCTCTGGGTCATATAATGCCGTTTGGAACCATATATGATCATTATTTGTTGTCATAAATGTTCGTAGTAGGCTTGAGTTAATTAAATCCGTGCAAGTTGTAAACCAATAATTAAATTTGCCGTTTAAAGTCAAATTGGATGGTTTCACCAACCCATTTGGACACCCGGAGGATATAAGAGATCATAGTAAACATTTTGGCTATTTTTTTTTTTCTGGGTGAAAAAAGTCAAAAAATTCCAAAATTGTAGACTAATATCCAAGCTTTTTAAGAAATTTTTGAGGATTCGGAGACCGGTGTCGAAAAGTCTTGAAATTTTAAGGGATACATATCGGGGTCATATAATGTTGTTTGGAACCAAACATGATCATTATTTGTTGTCATAAACGTTCGTGGTGGGCTTGAGTTAATGAAATCGGTGCAAGTTGAAAACTGGTTAATTGGTCGTTTAAAGGCAAATTGGATGGTTCCACCCACCCAATGGGACCCCCCGGACGGTATTAGGGACCATGGGTAAACATTTTCGGCAATTTTTATTTCCGAGCGAAAAAAAGTAAAAAATTTCAAAATTGAAGGCTAATATCCACGCTTTTTTAGAAATTTTGGAGGTTTAGGGCTCGGTGCTGAAAAGTCTTGAAATTCTAGGGGATACATCTTGGATCATTTAATGTCGTTTGGAACCATATATGATCATTATTTTTTTTGTCATAAATGTTCGTGGTAGACTTGAGTTAATGAAATCGGTGCAAGTTATAAACCGATAAAAAATAGGTCTTTTAAAGGCAAATTGGATGGTTCCACCCACCTTATTGGACTAACAAAGAGTGTTAGGGACCGTGGAAAATATATTGGCAATTATTATTTCCGGGCGAAAAAAAAGTCTAAAAATGCCAAAATTAAAGGCTAATATCCACGCCTTTTGAGAAATTTAGAAGGTTTCAGGGCCCGGTATCGAAAATCTTTCAGACTCTACGGAATACATCTCGGGGTCATATAATGTCATTTAGAACCATATATATATATGATAACTATTTGTTGTCATAAATGTTGGTGATAAGCTTGAATTAATGAAATCGGTGCAAGTTGTAAACCGGTAAATTGGTCGTTTAGAGGCAAATTGGATGGTTCCACCCACCCAATTGGACTACCGGAGGGTATTAGGGACCACGGTAAACATTTCAGCAATTTTTATTTTCTGGCGAAAAAAGTCAAAAATTTCCAAAATTGAAGGCTAATGTCCACGCTTTGTGATAAAATTTTGAAGGTTTCGAGGCCCGATGTCGAAGAGTCTTGAGAATTAAGGGAATAAATCTGGGGGTCATATAATGCCGTTTGGAATTATATATGATCATTTTATGTTGTCATAGATGTTTGTAGTAGGCTTGAGTTAATGAAATCGGTGCAAGTTGTAATTGGTAAATTGGCCGTTTAAAGGCAAATTGGATGGTTCCACCCACCCTATTGGACTCCCGGAGGGTATTAGGGACCATTGTAATCATTTAGGTAATTTTTATTTTCGAGCGAAAAAAAGATAAAAAATTCTAAAAATTGAAGGCTAAGATCCATGCTTTTTGAGAAATTTTTGATGTTTCGAGGCCCTGTGTCAAAAAGCCTTGAAATTTCAGGGGATACGTCTCGGGGTCATATTATAATGTCGTTTGGAACCATTTATAATCATTATATGTTGTCATAAATGTGCTCGATTTAATGAAATCGGTGCAAGTTTAAACCGATAAATTGGCCGTTTAAAAGCAAATTGGATGGTTCTACCCACCCAATTGGACTTCCGGAGGGTATTAGGGACCATGGTAAACATTTCAGAAATTTTATTTTTCTGGCAAAAAAATTCAAATATTTTCAAAATTGAAGGCTAATGTCCACGCTTTTTGAGAAATTTGGAAGGTTCGGGGCCTGATGTCGAAAAACCTTGAGATTTTAGGGAATAAATCTCTGGGTCATATAATGCCATTTGGAACCTTATATGATCATTATATGTTATCATAGATGTTCGTGGTAGACTTGAATTTATGAAATCAGTGCAAGTTTTAAACCGGAAAATTGGCCGTTTAGGCAAATTGGATGGTTCCACCCACTAAATTGGACTCCCGGAGCGTATTAGTGACCATGTTAAACATTTCGGTAATTTTTATTTCCTGACGAAAAAAGTTATAAAATCCCGAAATTGAAGTCCAATATCCACGCTTATTGAGAAAATTTGGAGGTTTCAGTGCCCGGTGTCGAAAGTCTTGAAATTTTAGGAAATACATTTCGGGGTCATATAATGTCGTTTGGAACCATACATGATCATATTATTTGTTGTCATTAATGTATGTGGTAGGCTTGAATTAATGAAATCAATGTAAGTTGTTAACCGGTAAATTGGTCGTTTAAAGCCAATTTGATGGTTCCACCCACCCAATAGGACTCCCGGAGGGTATTTGGGACCATAGTAAACATTACAACAATATCCGGGCAAAAAAAAGTCAAAAAAATTCCAAAATTGAAGGCTTATATCCACGCTTTTTGAGAAATTTCGAATATTTCGGGCCCGGTTTCAAAAAGCATTGAGATTTTAAGGGATACATCTCGGGGTCATATAATGCCGTTTGGATCCTTATATGATCATTATATGTTATCATGAATATTCGTGGTAAGCTTGAGTCGGGTCACGTCGGGTCATACTTCTTATTGGGTTTGAGTCGGGTTATTAACAAGCCGGGTTACATTCGGGTCAGGTGTACAATATGTCGGGTTTAATTCGGGTTTTCACGGGTTAAAACGGATTAGGGTAATTCTCGGGTTCGAGTCGTGTTTGGTTCAAGTCAATAATTTGTGGGGTCATTCTCGGGTTTGAGTCGGGTTCGGTTCAAGTAAATAATTTGCGGGTTATAATCAGGTCGGGTCATTTTCAAGTCGGTTTATTCTCGGGTTCAAGTCTGGTTCGGTTCAAGTCAATAATTTGCGGGTTATAATCAGGTTGGGTCATTTCCAAGTCGGGTCATTCTCAGAGCCAGGTCGGGTTATGTTCAAGGCAATAATTTGCAGGTTACAATCAGGTTAGGTCATTTCCAAGTCAGGTCATATTCGGGTTCAACTAATTATAAATATAATAATATTTTATCAAGCTAATTATTTCCTTTGACTATAAATATATGGCAATATATTAGGGAACTATAGTTTATAATTTATGAAGATAATTATCTCCTTTGACCATACAATAAATATATTATATTTAACTCTTAAATTTGAGTTTAATGCTCCTTTCTTTTGCTGGCCTGGACCAACTTGGTCTCCCTAGATAAAATGCTTTGATCAACAATAATAAGGTGGTCTAAATTGCATTTAAGATGATTTGAAATCAGGTCAGAAACAATTTGGGTGGAATTTAGACCGAGTCAATAACAAGTCGTGTTGATTTCGAGTCGGGTTAGTAACAGATCTGGTAAAATTCGGGTCGGGTCAATAACAAGTCGGGTTGAATTTGGGTCAGGTCAATAACAAGTCAGGTTGATTTCGGGTCGAGTTTGTATCAGGTTGGGTTAAATTCGCGTCGGGTTAGGAACTGGTCGAGTTGAATTCAGGTCAGGTTAGTAACAAGTCGGGTTAAATTCGGATTTTGACGGGTTAAAACAGGTTTGGGTCAATTTCGGTTCAAGTCGGGTTCGGTTTTATGGATTACATTCAGGTCGGGTCATCTCCAGGTCAGTTCATGTTCGGGTTCGAGTCTCACATACTCGTGTCAACTCGGGTCTAGGTTGGTTTCAGGTCGGGTCAGGTCGGGTTTGGGTCACCATTTTTTCGGGTTCAGATGGGTCGGTTAATAATCGGATTTGAGTCGGTATTTCAGGTCGGGTCAACTTTTGACAGCTCTATATACCACTAAGTATATTTTTGGAATCCCATCAAAAAAAAAAAAAGGTATATTTTTGGAATTGTATACGAAATACAAGTAATACATACTCCCATTGCTAGATTTCAGTATACAAAATACAATGTATACCACCAAATTTTGTTTTTTAATCAATTCTGAAGAGTATGAAGAATATGACTGTCAACAATAGGATTACATAAAAAATACAAACATTGGCTAATCACAAATGATTTTAAAAATGAATACATCAATTCAATCACAGAATAAACTCGTACCTTCAAATGCCAGAGAAACAATGGGGTTATGTACATGTATAGACTATGAGGCAAGCAACACAAAAAATTAGTTACAAACATTGCTGCTGGCCATCGCTGTATCTAGCAATGTGCTATCAGATGACTTGCAATCTGCAAAGGCAAGTAATTTAAAACCTTAATTCTTAAGACAGTGTTGCTCACTTCAGTGCCAAAGGATTACCAGCATGTGTTAATTCATCACAACAGAGCACTTCCTACACAAGGCCATTTTCTATAACAAAAAGCTCTTTGGAGCTTTAGCTGAAAGCACCGTCAGCGACTGTTTTCCTGAGTGGAAGTCTCACCATACTTTTGAAATCGAGTTTATCTCAACCTTGTTATTCAAAAAAGTCTGTATTGTGCAATGTAATTAGGTGCTCCTCATCACTAATTTTTTGACTCTCTCCAGTTGAGTACCAATTGGCAGGTCCTGCATTGCCTCGTGAATCTGCTGTCATAAAGAGGAAATTGATTGAATGTGATGAAACAGAGCATATTTTGTTAGCAACTGGATAGATCCTTGGAAAAAATTATTGTTGGTTATTCTATGGCATATCGCAAATCACAAATTCTCAATTTAAGAAGAAGCTGTTGTTTGAATTCAACACAATGTAAGGAAGATAAAAAGTATCAAGTCAAGATAGATCATTTTCTCTTTTAATTGAAAGGGCATAATAAATAGATAAATAAAAACACATCTAGGGAATTAATTTCAAGCTGGATACACTACCTGAGGTGTTGGTTTGTTCTTGTTCTCTTGTAGCATGTAGTATGATTGTTCCAGTGAGAACTGTAATAAAGCCGCATATTTCAGAAGCTATGCTGCTTGCATCTTGACCAGACCAATCCTGAAATGATAAATACATTTTAAAGATTGTTCTCCCTAATTGGGCAAAATATTAATATAACTATAAAACAGAAAAACTCGATGATTAATCTAATTAAGAATCTACCTTAAACATGATTGCACTTGCAGCAATAGTCAGGGTTGTGAACATCACATAATATATTGGAGATACTAATGCCGCATTAAATGTATCAAGTGCCTGCAAGATAGATATCGCAGAATATAGAGCTTAATTACAATGATATACTGAATTGTATCATTTGTTCTCTTACAATTAAGTGCTAAGGCATTGAATTGATACATCATAAACCCTATATCCAACTAATGATCATGTGTAAAAATCTCGGAAAAGTGTTCAAGACTTTACACATCCTAGTATTATAAAAAGAAATAGCAAGGGAATGTGTGCAAAATCAACTCTACTGTAACTTTATTTCACAGGCCGCAAAACCTCCATTATCAATTTTAGTACGAAGTAGTAATTAATGTTTTACCAACCCATATAAACTTCTCATTTAAAAGAAAATAAATTCATTAGATGACAAAAAGGACAATTTGAAAAGAGTCACTGCTATTTTTGACTGGTTGGGGTGATAATTTTTAAATTCTGGGATGTCGTTTACACTGTTTACAGGTACAAACCTACACATGAGCATCCATAATGCAAGGAAATGAATAATGAAATACAAACTATAGATGTGAACATTTGTCAATTAGATGCACCACAGCAAAAAGCATGGTCTCTGCCTCTCTGGTGCAATACTAAAATCAGTAAAAATGATTTAATGTCCTTCAAAAAAAATAATGATTCAATGTCCTTCAGCCAATGCTGTTAGGAAATAGGAAACATATCATTGAATTTATTAAGATCTCACAATAAAGCCCAAGCTCTAAGCATATAAAGAAGCCAAACAATGAAAGTTCTAATCTAAACCTTAAGTGTTATTCTAAAATGTGAGAACTGGGAGGGATGATGAACCTCCATCAAAATGATGTTTCAAATGGGTGCAGACAGTGCTGTATCTAAACGATATAGAGGTATAGACATGAAAGAAAATTGAAAAGGTGCTAGCTTAGCTACAATTTTCTCCAAAACCTGTTTTTGCCTGATTGCCAGTTTGGTAGTCAATACATCGTCAAAAGAGAAGAAAGCTAAAAGGTCGAGTTGCTCACACTCACCCAAGAAGGGACGAGTTGCTCACACTCACCCAAGAAGGTGTTTTTTTTTTTTTTTTTTTTGATGGACCCAAGAAGCAGTTAGCACAACCAAAGATTACCAACAAAATTTCAAAGACAACATAAACAGAGAAACATATTCACTATTGTGCCAAAACCATACTACTGGCACTCCATATAAACTGGTAAGTGGTAGCACACCAAATGCCTCTATTTTGCCCCCTGATATCTAACCAAATTGTATCCTTCACAAGAACCTCAAGCTTCTTTGACACACCAACACTATATATTAAGAAAAAACATCGTACAAAGGGATACCATAAGGTCCATAACATGACAAAATGAGAGTTAAAACACCCAAAAAGCAACACCTTTGAAACAAAATGAGCCACAAGTCACAGATTAAAATTGAAAATACTAGAGTGAATAGAAAGTGAGGTTCTGCTAGACTGCCTTGTCATCACTCAAATGTAATATCCTAGGAAGAGAATACTATAGCGAGGAATTGAGAAAAGAAATAATATTCGCTAAGGTAATATTACTTTGATGACACGTATTTCCATCTCTCCCTGCCAAGAATTTTCTTACAACGTACTGACAAATACACACAAAGACCAGAAGACCCCCAACATCAAACTTTTTTTTAAAATCAAAAAAAGTGCAAGGAGACAAATTGAAAGATAGAAAGAAGAAAACGCAGAGTACAACAAAAGAATATGCAAACCTTGTTCAGGTAATTTAACTGTGTAATGACACAGACTGCTCCCACAGTCATGAAAAACCAAGTTTGTGCATAGATAAGCTGGTTTGTCCCCTCCAGAGTAAGTTTTATAGCTATTCCAATAGCCTTGATGCTCACTACCTGCAGAATGGCTATTAAGACCCATAGATTGTGGGTGAAGCAAACATCAAATAGACAAGGGAAAATATCAAAGTATCAACAGAACTTTTTACCGTCAGTGAACCTATCAAAGAACATATCCCCAAGTAAACCAACAAATTTGTCTGCCCATAGCGTGGCTCCAAGTGCAAAATCAAAACTGCCACAATAGATAATGAAGCCGCCACATAAATCAAGAAATCTGGTCATAGAAGAATATGAAAAAACCAGTTAGGGTGACTATAGGCCAGTACAGGTATGACTATCTAAATATATTGCTAGACGTCATTTGAAATGACCTGTTTGACTTGCCAGATCCCAAATTTGTTGAACAGAAGTTGGTGCTGCCTCCTGTGGGGCATGAAGAACAATTACCACCGACCCCACTATACAAGACACACATCCCAGGACACCAAGCTTTGACAGTCTTTCTTTGAGCATGAAGTGTGCTAAAACCGCACTGAACATTTGCACAAATCAGGCAAGTGAAATCAGACACAGCATTTGTCATTAACAATATTTCAAGAAATTCAATCCAGTTTACCTGATTATAATACTTAACGCTCCAAGCGGTGTTACCAAAACAGCCGGAGCATAAGCATATGCCACAAAGTTTGCAGCCTCTCCAATAAACACTGTTTTTGAGAATTTCAGAGAGAAAATTTGATCTTTAAAAATGAGCAGTAACCCACACAAACGTTAACTAAAAAGACTGGAGTTTAAGGCAGGGAAAGAGCCTGCACTCACTTAAGGACATTCCTGCCCACCAGAGTGGCTCTAGCAAATAAGTGTAGCCTCCGTATCCTACATTGTCAGACAAAATGATTTCAAATACAGAATAAGTAGGCTGATGGGAATAAAGTCATAATAACCATTTGGTGCCAATGAAATATAGAAAAACAGGTAAAAAATAACATTATATTACGAAAACAAAATACCAGCATACTGTATATGGAGGATCATGGGAAACCTTTTTGACTTGGCTTCATTAGAGAACTATGAATTTATGCAGAGATCCTTAAGTGGTAGGTCGTACTGTTAGACAGATAGCATAGAAGGAAAAGAAATTTATACCATACATATATTAGATTTGCCAAACAGTACCTGACTATGGGTAAACTATTTCATTTCTATACTGGATTTAATCATCATTTTTGGGCATTTAGCAAGCCTGCAATAGAAACCAGATAACACTTGTAGACACCCTCATTCTGATCAAATCAATATTAATCTGGAGGAACTCTTATTTTGTGATTTGGGAAGCCTTTAAAAAGAAGAGGGGCATTTCTCACTGAAATTATTCTCACATAAGGAAGGCAGATTCATTAAAGATAAGAAGGATATCAATGGTCATATGTTACATTTACGTCAGCAAGTACTTATTGCATAAAAAGAGAGCAACTTCTAACCTAATGAAAAATAAATTTCTTAAGCGCACAACTCCAATATCTTTAATGCCTTTTGTACAGCGCCTACTGGTTTAACAATCAATCTGTGGCCATCCGACAGAAGTCGGGACTATGCAGTCCAACAAGCTCCCAGCATTCAAAACCAGCCCTCGTCACATACACTGCAGAACTGCATACTGATTCAGTATTGCCTTACTTGTGCTGTTTTACTGACAGTAATTTTGTTTTACTCCTCCTTAGAGGCACTCTAGTGTCAACTGGTTGAGATAAGACAAACACAACCAATGGTGGAATACTATGTTAGTCTGTTGTTGCTGCTGCATAACCACCTATCACATAAATCATTTCCTCAGAGACAACACTTGCAGGCATTGCAGCACATTATTGCTATACAAAGAGGCATTTCGACTGTTAATTCCACTAATTCAGGTAGCTACCATTTGCAACCTAATAAGTGAGCCAATTGACCCGGTGTAGAACCCCCTTCTCCTTACACTCATCATGGACCCCCACCCCTCCTTACAACCAACAAAGAAATACTTAACACACCCCAAAAAGGAGGTCACCCACTTCATACTTCTCATGTAAGCAGCCTACAATTTCATACTCCTCGAAGATGTCCACATGAGTTATTCACTACTCCTTTTGGAATTCTCATGATTCAAGTTAAAATCCAAGCCACCAAATATCATCCTTTTTCACCATAATGAGGGAGCTTCACACAGTAACTGACTAGAATTACAAGTTAATATCAAACTAACATACCAAACACTACAAATCTATGAAGCTCAACCCAGATACAGATGTAAACAAAGTAAAGAAGAGAACAACAATAAGCCATTTTAGAGCCAAAAAATGTTAAATATTGCCAAATTTTCATAGGTCAGATGCTTAATCTATATTCAAAGTTTGATAACTATTTTAATCATCAAAAAATGAATACCAAGAATCATACAACTAAAAATAAGCCAATTAAACTTTAAATTTCCTAGTTTTAAAGCAAAAGTCGGACGAACCTGCACGGGTGCCATTAGCAGCAGCACGGCGAAGACCCTTCTTCTTCAAGATAAAGCTGGTCCCAATAAACACACTTGAACCCACTGCTAGTACCAACCCTCTTACATTATCCTCCGCCATTAACAAACCCCCACTAACTTCCCGCCAAATCACCGATCCCCAATTACTGAAATCAAATACCCAGAAAATACGAATCTCCAAATTCCAAAATTTATCAGTCAAAAACAAAATCCCAGATCTTTCTTTGGGTTCAGATTCCAATGGCCGGAAGTCACTCAATAATGATAAAGAAGACGAGTTAAATTTGACTGATTACTTAGGATAGCTTTTTGTAATCATTCTACTGCAACGACCAAATTTGTAATTTTTGTGGGTATTTTAATCTGATTTTGTAAATCTTCTATGAACTGTCAATAATTCCGTAGGGTAGGATGTCAAAGTGATGAACTGGCATAATTACGCAGATTTCAATTAAGACAGAGGAGTGATCAATACAGAATTAAAGACGTGGTAGAGTTGATTATTTTGTTTGTCGAGACCATAATTATTGTGATTACTAATATTGGGCTAAAACATAATATTCCTTGGACTCTTTGGTATAAAAATGTACAAATGGCCCCTTTTATTAGTTTGGTGTTGATGGTTGCTTTGCTTCTTTGGATTGGATTGTACAATTTGTGTGGCTTGTGTTCGATCCACATTGTGATTAGACAATCTAACATGGTTGATTTTATGGATTTTAGTTTCACAGTCATATTAGTAATCTTTGAAGAAATTACTTATATTCAGCTTATTTTTAGTTCAATTCAACTCTTAATTTCTTTCTCTCATAAAATATTTAATTCAGTTCAGCTCATTTCAGTAAATCAGAACATACCTTAAATATAAACGCCTCTACATATGTTAGCGGCTTTAGGCTAACAAAAATTTGAAAGAAAAAAAAACAAACTGAGCTCCAATCAATAGTTTTCATACAAATGAACGTAAGGAAGTAATTTGAAATTTAGCATTTTTCATGGAAATTGCTCATAAGATTACTAGACTATTGGCTATAATACTTTCTGTACAAAAATAACAAATCCGAATAATTAAAACAACAACGTATACCGTATCAACTTTTTTTTATTCGTCTATACAAGATGCAATTAAGATTTAATCTCCTTCTTAAATACGGAGGACTATTTTACCCAAAATTTTATCAATACGCGTTCTCTTACTAATTAGAGTAAGGCTACCTTAATCATCAAACGTGTACTAAAGGGTCCACTTGAACTACAAGTAGTCAAACTCTAAGTGCTTGTGCATAATTGCATATAATATGCCTCAAAGTTTCCACTCCAAACTTACGTCGGCGTGTCTCTTTATGCAAAGTTAGTTCACAACTTTACTCCCCTCCTAAAAATTCTACATCACCTATCACCGCATTTCATCATCATCCTCTTTGTGTCTTTTCTCCCCTTCTCACTCACTTCACCCCCTCTAAATCCTACTTCCCCCTCACACCACCTCGGCCGCACCCGTCACCAAGAGAGAGAGTCCACTTAACCCGTTACGAACCAAACATGGGACTAAGTAACAACATAACAGCAATACTAAATTTCATAGCACTACTATGTTCAATCCCAATCATAGCCTCGGGCCTATGGCTCGCTTCCAAGCCCGACAACGAGTGTGTCCACCTCTTCCGGTGGCCCGTTGTCGTGCTCGGCTTTCTTATCTTAGTCATCTCATTAATAGGCTTTGTTGGGGCTTATTGGTACAAAGAAAGCCTCTTAGCTCTTTATCTTTGTTGTATGGCTATCCTTATTACCCTCCTCCTGGTTCTCCTCATTTTCGCCTTCGTCGTAACCCGGCCAGATGGGTCGACTCAGGTCCCGGGCCGGGGGTACAAGGAGTACCGCCTAGAAGGGTTCTCTAATTGGTTCAAGGACCATGTTACTAATGATGAGAATTGGTTTAAGATTAGAAACTGCTTGATTGATACAAATTTTTGTGCTAAGCTCAATTCTCAATTTGTGGGTGCTCCTGATTTTTTTGTTGCTCATATCTCACCTCTTCAGGTACACACTTTTCCTAACTTATAATCCTATTCTTTTTCTGCTCAATGACTAATTTGACGCGTAATTTTGTTATGTAATTCCAATTTGATAATATTAGACATTAACTCGAATTAGAATAATAATATATACATCACTTAAGGCGTTAAGGGTAACCCAAGTTGTTAGGGAGTTACTTTAGAATTGCTAGCTACCAGTGATGAGTTGTTAAATTAAGGTTATAGAAATACGGATTCGAATTAATGAAATCATGACTCTAAAATTAATTTGGTTAGATGTTGAAAGAAAATGTTGAAAAATTGTCACACTAAAGGTTGACTTGGAAGTCTTGAACTCTTGATAAGTACTCGTACAAACAGTAAATCTGATCAGCAATGAAAGGCTAGAAGGTACTCTGAAAATAGCTTGGCGTTTTCATACGCTGCTTCTCTGACACACTCCCCTGCTTTGTACTCGACTTTTGAGGCCCATATAATTAGGAAAATACTACTTCGTAAATTTGTAAGTCTACTTAATTATACTCGAAATATTTTGAGTTTTGACTCATATAATAATTATTACTCCGTACACAAACATGGTTTTCAAACATTGAAGTATTTTGTATAGAATTGATTATTACCTTAGTGTTTAAGCCTATTTCCTCAATTACTCGTTCTCGTTTTAGGTAATGAAGTACTCGTACAAAACAAATTTCACTTACGGAGTATAAATTACTCATTAGCGTTTTGGAATTACTAATCTAATTTACCTTAACTACTCATAACAACTTTGTATGTACTTAAAAGAGTTTAAAGGAACTAGTAGTACTAGATGAATATGCGAAAATCTTAAAATTAATAATAGCTTATAAATTGTGTATTTCTATAATGATCTAGATCTAGAATACCATAAAGTGGGTCCAAATTATTGAGTGAAACAATTATCTTTGCTGATAATTAGTGGGTATGGTCCACCAGTGGTTGCACTATTTTATCAGTCATATGTTAACCAAAGTCAATTAAAATTATCCTTTGCCTTTTTCCTTACTAATTGTTGTTTATTTCAATTCTAATCAATCACTAAAATTCCCACTACAAAAATTTATGAGAAACTTCTATAGTTAATCAGGTACTATGTGGGGAATCAATTTTATTTTGAAATTCAGAGAATCAATCTTTTTATCACACTCAAAGAAAGTGCTCTGTTCTAACCGAAAAAAGTAGAATAATTTAGAAAATATGGAATTGTCTTCATTGTAGCAGGTAGAAAAGCATTTCATTGTTTGCAAACTGATGCATGTCATCTTGTGAACCACTGGAATTATAAAACATATTTTAAGTAGTAATTAGTGCTTTCTTTGCCTTTTGTTTCGGCTGTTAATTACCAGAATTTACGTTGATATTGTGGGGCATGCATATTCACACCAAAAACTTGTCACTATGTGTGGATGTTGTCTTGTTGGTGGTGCATAAAACACGAGATTCAATTTCATCTATATCATTATCTATTGTAAACTTATAACTATTTCATCACCTATAACTCTAAAAGAAGATGGTAATTGCTAATGTTGTTAGAACGGAACAAGTAATCACTTATCATTGGACCAAGTCAATAATCTAGTCATGTATCATATTGTTAATGTTTCCTCTGTATAGCATTAGGTGGGTCACATTAGCATGGTGTAACATTCATAAAACTCAATTATTGATGATCTTTTATCATTGATAATATGAAATGACCTTATTGCCACTTTATATTGCCCTTCATTAGCAAACTAAAATGTTACAGTAATTGCTGAAAAATAGTGGACTTAGATTCTGAAGTTCTTTCATTCCTGTTATTACAGTCAGGGTGCTGTAAACCTCCAGACATCTGTGGCTACCAATATGTGAACCCAACAATATGGACTAACCCTACAAACCCGGCAGCTGACCCGGATTGCACGTTATGGAGCTCCGACCAAAGCCAACTATGCTACAATTGTAACTCTTGTAAGGCAGGGCTTCTAGGAAATCTAAGGGATGAATGGAGGAAAGCCAATATCATCCTCATAATCACAGTCGTCGTGCTCATCTTTGTTTACGTGATCGCTTGTAGTGCATTCAGGAATGCTCAAATTGAGGATCTATTTCGCAAGTATAAGCAAGGTTGGGCTTAACAAGACTTGAATCCAAGAAAAATTAATTTCATCGTTAAGCTAGTCAATTAGTTTAATTTGTTTCATAGAAATTAGTTTCAATTTTGTATATGGAATGCACAAGTGTATGTTCAAGTTGATAAGTATTTGATAGAATAGAGAACAAGTTGTAGTAGCATTATTTTCAAAGAGATTCTTATAGTAAACCTTTTCTTTTCTTTGTGAGGATCAGATTCCAATCAATAAAAAATAAAAAAGAAATTAATTGTAATTGTTTGATTCCCATTTCTTTAGTGGATAGCTTTGTATTATTTGCTCCTATATGATTCAAGCGGGTATATCACGACTTTCTTGCGTACGCATGGTAGCGTGTGTGACATAACCTATAATCCTACACATAACGAACGTTAGGGGTGAGCATAACAGGGTACCTGTAAAAATTCTGGGAACCGAAACCATAACCTGTTGCAACAGGTTCTTCAAAATGGAAATGGAATCGGAACCTGTTGAACAGGTTCCTGAAAATTGAGAACCGGAATCTGTAGGTTCCGGTTCCGATTCAGGGTAACCTGTATTATAATATACTCACTAACTTTTTTGCGGATTTTTTAATAAAAAACTGGTTGGTCACTAATTTATAATATTTGCAACTTGCAAATAAGACAAACTAATAATAGTTGTCTAACAAATTTAATATATATATTTTTATAATCGTAATTTTGATATTTATTATTTAAATATTGAGTAAGAATTAGTGTATAATTTGAAATATTATTTAATATATATATTATTTAATATATGTATTTTTATTTAAATATTAAGTGATACTTTTATCAGGTACAAGGTACCCTACAGGTTCCAGTTCCAAAAAATTAAGAACTTGAACCTATTACAATAGGTTCTCCAGTTTGCTACCCGAAATCGGAACCTCTTGTACAAGTTCCGATTGCACAGACCATCTCATACCCGGCGCGAATTAATTCCACTTTGAAGTAGGGGCGGATGAGATTCGAACCCGTGATCTTTGTGTCACGCTGGCTTTGATACCATGTTAAAGGACCAACTCAACCAAAAGCTAAAACTGATGGTTGAGACCCAGAAATATATTTTATATTCTATCAACTCTCATATAATTAATTGTCTGGTCTTTTATAATCGATCTATTTCAAATCTAAAAGAATCATTACGATTCATTTAATTTGTATATATACTTTGTATATATAAATAGTTATGACTTGTTTGTATGTAGGTATAGCACCCCTAAACTTTCATTGGTTTATTTTGAGATATAATATTACCTATTTACCTATATTATTGATCTCGAAAATTATCCGAAACTATGGACAACATATACTAACATAGAGAGACACTCTAACCCTTTATGTTGACGTAAGTTGACCACCGACTTTTATTCTTTCAACGACTCGATACCAATGTTGTCCTACTACGAAGAATAAATTATACTTCCAAGTAATTAATAATAATAATAATAATAATAATAATAATAAATAAATAAATAAATAAATAAATAAAATTAAAATCATCAACGTCAATAATAATAATAATGTAGATTTATCACATGGGATGTGCCCTAATTGTAGCTTTGACGTTGGTTCTTGGCAGCTTACAGTTGGAATAATTCTTAAAAGGCCACACTTTCTAGCCTTTTGAACATTAATCTAGTAACTTGAAATTTCTAGATTGTTTCCTTTACTAATTGATGCCATCAAAACCAATTGTGTGATTGTGTCTGTGTGTCTACTTGCATCATTCCTTAAAGTTATCATCAAATCATATTACAAGAGTATATATATTATCTCAAGTCATGTATATAATAGTCATTGGAGATTGGAGTACTTCATAAAAAGAGAAAAAAAATACATTTATTACTTAACAAATAGAAAGAACAAAAGTGAAGTAATTTAAGTTGAATGACACCTCTAAAATTACATATTAAAGTCATACGAATTTGTGTTGTGAAAAATGGCTAGGTTTTGAAGGACCATCATAATATTTGTCAAGAATCCCATTTGTTATTTTAGAGGATGGGAGAGAATCCCTTGACTTCTTACCTCCTCCCTATACTACTTTCAAAAACCAAAAAAAAAAAAAAAAAAAAAAAAAAAAAACATTTTAGGGTTAGATCACCAAATGCCATTGAGAACTTTAATAATTCATCAAATGTCACCGAGTTTAAATTAAATTTACCGGGTGCCATTAATGACCAACGAACATTAACTCCGCTAGTCATTAAGGCTTAATCATGACATATGTCATGATATATATGATTGGTATATTTAAAAAATCTAACAAAAAGAAAAAAGAATTTTTTTAAAAAAAAATTCTAAACCCTAACCCAGCCCCACCACCACCACTGCCGCTATCGGCAGCCCAACCCAGCCGTCGGTACTCCCGGCCTCACCTCCACCGTCGAAACCATCCTAACCACCCCCTTAAATCCTATATCCTCCACCCTTGAAACGACGAAATCGTCCATAAAAATCGACCATTCTTCCATGGCTGATTTAGGCCGTTTGAGGGTGAAGGGTTTCCATGGTCGGGTTCTATTCTAGGTCTTCATGGTCGGTTTCGGTGGCTACAGTGATGCGTCGAGTTGGTGCGTGAGGTGGTTGTGGGGGCTGGGGTGGGGATTAGGACGGGGGTTGTCAGGCAGGCGGAGTTCTGTGGGTCGTCATCTGGGTGCTGGAGTAGGGCAGACGGAGTTATGGGCATTGCGTGAGACGGTTGCGGTGGCTGGGGTGGTTTTTTTGGGATGAGGAAAGGAAGATTTAGTGGAGTTGGTGGTTTTGGTGGGTCAAGGGGTTTTTGAGGGAGGTAAGGGGGTTTCGGCAGGTTCCAACAGGAGGTTAGGGGGTTTCGGCAGAAGGTTAAGGAGTTCCGACGGTTGGCTTAGGGCCTCGGTTGGCTATGGAAGGTGGTTACGGTGGTGGGGCTGGGTTGGGTTAGGATTTAGAATATTTTTTTTTAATTTTTTTTTTATTTTCCTTTTTTTAAAAAAAACAAATAACTGACTGATATGTGTCTACATGTGTCATGATTAAGCCCTAATAACTAACGAAATTAACGGCCATTAGTCATTAATGACACTTGGTGAATTTTTTAAAACTCGGTGCCATTTTAGGAATTTTGAAAACCTTGATGGCATTGGTGAATTATTAAAGTGCTTATTGACCTTGGGTGAAATAACCGTTGTTAATAAGACCAAAATGGGCCGAACCGGATTAAAATTTCTTTGTTAATAATAACGGGCCAAGTATATAGTCTGCCCCAGTCCCAACATCGTTAGTTTGAACTTCCAACTCCCACACACAGAGCCATAATTATAAAGCGTATCTTTGTATTCGACTGGGGTTCTCAAATTCTCATTGAATCAAATAATTAATTTAATTAAAGATTAATTACTCGATGGCCACCACAAAATTGCGGAAACTTGATGCATTGAAGGTTAGTTTTTTTTTTTTTTTTAGTGTTGAAATAGTTTTTGCAGATTTTTATACTGTATTAATTAACTAAAACTCTCGATTGATATACAAACCTGATGTTGATGCGTAATTCAAATTCCCCTGATTCTATGATCTGCTCTTAATTTTGGATGAAATCCTGGGATTTGGATATTTGAAATTAAAAAAAAATAAAAAAAAAATTGTGGGTCTTTGTTTTGATTGTTTGATAATGTGAATATTGTTAGTTATATATCTGGGACATGAATATTATTTGAATTTTGTAATATTTGGGGAATTTTGTATAATTTTATAGTTGAAACAACATTAATGAGGTGAGTGGGAATTGAATTGAATTGAATTATTGTTTGATTAATCAGAGATGTAAAAGAATGGTAGCGGAGGATCGGATTAGTGATATGCCAGATGAAATCCTCTGTCATATATTGACACGGTTGACACTCAAGGAAGCAATAGCAACTGGCGTCCTTTCAGAGAGATGGAAAAACTTGTGGGCTTCCTGCCCTAATCTCAACTTTGGATGTTTGAAACTATTAAAAATGGGCGAACGAACGTATGTGCGATGCATTGATAATATTTTACGACAATATAATGCTCAAAATTTGCATAAATTTAGGATTGTACGTCCGTCAGACATTAGTGGGCAATATCTTGATGAATGGATTTCCTTTGCAATTAATCATGGTGTTTGTGAGCTCGACTTAAACTTAAACGTATCTTTTATTCCTGGTTATTCCAATAACTATTATTTTCCTGCTCATTTTTTTGCTTCTCCTAATGTCTTTGAGTCTCTAACAGATCTCTGCCTAAGAACTGTAAACCTCACAGATGATGTTTTTAACTTGATTTTATCTAGCTGTTTTTCTCTTGAAAGATTTATTTTGGAGTTTAGTTATGGGCTGGTAAATGCAATAAATACAGCTCCTCACCCAAACCTGAAATCACTCGAGTTGTACTGCTGTCATCACCTACAATATCTGCAAGTTTTTGCCCCAAATCTTATATCATTCAAGTATGATGGAAATATAACAACTCTCTCTATTAAGGATGCTAAGCAGCTTGCTTCTCTAAGGCTATCAATTTTTCCAGTCTATAAATCAACTGTGATCTTGCCCAGAGCAAAAAACTTCGTTTTCACTCAGTTCTCTTCTCATTTTGCAAATCTTAAATCTTTGGTTATTTCAGCTCATCTCTTCAAGGTTAGCACTGAACTGAAGGACATTCAGTTAGCATTTTTTTTTCTGTGTGTGTGTGTGGTTTTGGCCACTTACTGATGTATTGTTATGCGCCTTGTGCAGGACATGAGTGATTTTACGGAACTTTGTGTTTTTAGTAATCTAAAACGACTGGAGGTTGATGTTAAATTTACTTGGGTGACCTACCTGGCCTACAGTGTCGTTGCTTCCATAATCAGGGGAGCCCCTTTATTGGAGCTACTTGAGATAGTCGTAAGTACTTCTGAACTCCCATTTCCTGGCCAACACTTGCATGAATTCTTAAACATATACGTAGTATTTTTTTAAAAGAAAATAAAGAAGGGAAAGCTATTTGTTTCCTAAAGGCTAGAGCATATGTTACTTGAAAACAGGTATGAATCCATTTGTTTCCTAGAGGGAGTGATAAAAGAGATGGGATAGCTGGTCAAGTGGTCAATATCATTTGTCTACGCTTCTATGCTTTTTTGTTTGTTGGGGGGTGCGGGGGAGAAGGTCATAGTGAAGCATACATTATATCATTAACGTTGTAGCTTATGAAGTTACAATCATAGCGAACAAAGCAACAAAGGGTAAGACATTCCTACTAAGTAGGCACCCTAAGCTACTAAAACATATGAAACAGCCAACTAACAGTTAATCCTAAACTTTTTAAGCCAAACAGTGAGAGTTTTCCACTTGCTAAGCTTAACAACATTAATCCTTTTACAAATTTCTATTATAATATTCTTCTTAACACTTGGATCCTGACCATCCATAGATGATAGATCATTGCACAAAGCCATCATTTTTCTGATTTTCCAGCTTAACTAACTTCCCCCTTTTTCAATCATCTCTAAATAGTCTTGAGTGCTGAAACTGATGCCATTCCAGGAATATATACCACTGTGCTGAAAGGAGTGACAGGTGAAGTACATATGCTGAACTGATTACTTGTCTTGACTGCATATCTGACAATCTGATTGTGCACAGATTAAACTTTTACACTATTCTAACCTCTAGGAATGTTAGATGTGCTCCAGTCACTAATTCACTTTGTTTTGATTCCCTGTAACCAAGAAAAACCATTGGAAATGGCATACCTTTTCTACTATCTGATTGCTTTTTTCAATAGAAAACAAGCCATCTGCAAACAAGATGTTCTTATACTTTAAAACAGTTGGACACAAAATACCTGTAACATAATGGCTACCATATCGTAAGCGCATTTGAAGTTTAATGACCTGTAAAAACAGTGTACTATATGCCAACAGCATTAACTGGGGAATATTGTACATTATTGTGCTAAATCTAGCACAATAATGTACAATATTCGGGGATGTAATACAGAGACCACAAGGTGTGCTTATACGAAGAGTGGAAGAGTGGGATCAAGGAGAGCTTAAGCGATGTAGAGGGCGACAGAAAATGACTTGGTTGGAAGGAGTTAGGAAGGATATGAAGCAAATGGACTTTTATGAGAATGAGGTATTTGATCATAAGCGATGGAGGAAGAAGATTTTTGTGGATGACTATACGGAATATTCACTTTTGGTTCATGTAGCCGACCCCACTTTTGGGATTAAGGCTTTGATTGAGGATGATGATTGTGCTAAACCTAGCTTAGTAACATCAACTCTATTGTGCTAATGAATCATGATATCCACATTTTTTGGCCTTCTTATGTATCTTGTATTATTCCAGCAGTTTAACTGTTTGAGCTTTAGAAATTACCTACTGTTGTATTTTGTATTTTGAAAAAGTGTTTAGTAGCTCCCTAACCATCATTGAGCTTGATGTCAAACATATGTCACGTGTCTGCATTAGTGTCTCTTGCGAGTTTCATACTGTTTGTCAACATGCATGTGCTACATGTTAATATGTGCTAGATTGTCTTCGTTAAGTTTGCTTCCAAAAGTCTTATAGACTTAAGTTTCAATTCTTGAATTTCCTTTTGTGCAGTGGATTATTTACTGCCTGCCTTATTGTTATAGATTGATTGGATAATGCTGATTGAAAAACTGTCTGCTGCTTGTAGCTCCCACCATTTATTCCTACATGGCAGGAATACCCTGCACTAGAATTGGCTTCTATGTCTCCGCACCAGAATCTAAAGGAGGTCAAATTATTTGGCTTTCGAGGTGATAAAAAAACCATGGAATTTCTTTCCTATCTTTCTAAGAACACTGTTTCTCTTCAGAAGATCAATATTACTGCTCGTTTTGCTATAAGGCATGGAGAAGATCTGACAGTTGATAATACATTACATTGGAAAATTGATGCTGCTGAACATGCTAAGAATTGTGTGGTGCAGCTTAGACAAACAATGCACGGAAATACCCAGCTGCTGTTTCATGATGGGTGACTACTAGTTCAGAACTTCAGAAGAAGTGTGTTGTGGCCTGTGGTATGACCCAAGTGTTGCTCTGGGTTTTTAGTGTTTGTAATTTTGTTTTCTCTCAGATATTTATCAAATAGATTATTCCTGAGCTATACTTGGGTTTTGAAATGTATAGTATTTGAATTATAAAAGACTTTAGGAAAATGTAACTTAATGTGCAATTATAATAAGGATTTTGCTAATTTAAAATGTTACCTAAAGTGATATTATTTAGGGAAAGCATGACAACATCATGCGTCAATCGGTGTATTTAATGTTAATTTAAATTAATCTTTAAGCTTATCCAACGCCCCCGGGGCGTTCGTTAGCTTTTGTTTATTTTATTATAATTCATATATTTATATAATGTGTATTAATTAGTTCAATTTTTTTTTTTTTTAATTATTATGGAGGAAATGAAACACTTCATTTTCTTCCTTGAATTTGCAAGTTATAGAATGCACAAAGACATAAATAAAAAATATTAAGGGAGGTAACATGTGTCATATGGGGGTACAGTAGGGACAGGGAATTTCCGGTGGAGCGGTGAAATGCGGGGATAATGAGTGACTTGTAATGACATATGTCATATGAAAAATTTGTGTTTTGTGTGTATTAAATACTTGTGGTTCAGATGGCTTTCGGGATTTGGGTTTCAAGCTAGCATGATGTGGAAAATGTCTCATTTTACTCAAAAAGCCTCATTTTAAAATAATAACCCGTGCCAAAGAAAACTTCATTTAGCATTGCTTGAAAAATATCTCAATTTACGTGCAATTATATTTAAGCCCATAAAATTGATCGTTTAAGGTTTTTGATCTCATTTGGTCCTTGAGGAACGAAATTGAGATCAAAATTAGAAATAATAATAATAATAATAATAATAATAATAATAAAAAAAAAAACTCTCGTTAGGGAGATTAGGGCTGGGTGTAGGGGGGGTTTCCGGCAGCTTTTCCGGCGGCTTTTAGTCCTTTAATATCAGGCGGCGGTGCTCGGTGTCGGCGCCTTCAGGTCAGGCTTCTTTCCGGCGGTTTCCTCGGTTCTTTTGGGGCGAAATTCAGGCTGTTTCGGGCTTCATTGTTTGGGCAATTTCAGGGCAATTCGAGGGCAGTTTATGGGCGAAATTCAAGCTCGTTCCACATTCATTTTCAGACTGGTTCTGCGATCATTAACCAGGCGTTTGTAGGTCCGGCGAGGGCTTCTCTTTTCCGGCGATTACAACCGTTTTTCAGGCAGTATTTAAGTGGTTCGCGACATCTGTTTTCAGGACTTTTTTATGGTCTGATTTTGGGTTGATCAGGTGCAGTTTTTAGGCGGTTTCATAGGGTTGTTTTGCTGCAGTACCTCTAGCGGTTTCCGGGCAGTTTCTGTAGGCTGTTTTTAGGTGGTTTCGGAGTAGTTTCCGGGCTGTTTCAGTTGCGTTCTTGTGTGTTCTTCTTGGCTGCAGTTTCTAGGCGGTTTCTAGTGCTTCTTGGGTGCAGTTTTTGGTTAGTTTTTTGGTGCAGTTTGCGTTGTGTTGTATTGCGGTTCTCTTGTGGCAAGTTGTGGTGGATGTTATGCCTCCTAGTGTTCTCTTTCATTGCCCGTTCGTGGGTCTTAATGGGTGTCAAGATGGCAGGGGTAATGGGCTCACTAAAACTTCTTTGATCACTCATCTCCGTGACCGTCATTGTTGTGCGGATGCGCGGGATATGACCCGATGCTCTCTTGCTTCTAATCTGGCTATTTTCTTAGAGGCGGAGTCAACTTTTCGGCGTATGGGCATTTGGCTTTGTGGGGAGTGTTTCAAGACTCATACTTTTCGTACGAAGTGTCGACATGGTCGTGGTTCGGATGATATTGTGGACCCACCTGATTTGGGGGATGGTGTTGTTCGGTTTGTTCTTTATGGTTTTCCTAAACCTCAGGGTCTTTCTTCGGAGGTATCTGATCTTGTTTCTAGTGCGCCTCGTCAGCCTCTTTTGGCGTTCGATGTTGCTCTCCTGGATAGTTTGCTATCTAAGCGGTTCCGTTCGGTGAAATCTATTCCTCCAAAGTGTCGCTTGGGTTTTTCTCGGGTTCTCAAAGGAGCGCTTGATAAGGTGATTTGCAAGCCTGATGACGTCTCTTGTTGGGTTCAACTACTTGTGTTGCCTCTTTGTGTTCTTAAAACTTTTACCCCGAGGAGTAGTCGTGAGTGTTCTTTGGGTGTCCGGCGGCGGCGGCAGGAAGAGAGTATCACCGCTGCTATTCGTTCTTGGTGTGAGCCTGGTGGTTCTGTGCATCTTGTGCGAGATACGTTGGCAGATGTGTCTCCTTCTTTGTTGGAAGCTGATGATGAGCATGATTTGTTTGAGCGAAATATTAAGCAATGTAAGAGAAAGATTTGTGACGGACATTACACTGCTGCGGTTCGGGTTCTTTCGTCTTCTGGTCTTGCCCCTTACAATGATGCTACTCTTGCTGATTTACAAGCTAAGCACCCTTCCTTTCCGGCTCCTATCTTACCGGATATCCCCGTTGATCAGCCCCTTATTGCTACATCTGCTGTTGTTTTGGATCAAATTAGGGGTTTTCCGCGTGGTACGTCATGCGGTAGAGACGGCTTGCGTGCTCAGCACCTTCTGGATTGCTTGAGTGGTGTTGCGGTTGCTATTTCAGATGAGTTGGTGGGCTCTATTACGCAGGTGGTTAATCTCTTTCTCGCAGGAAATTGTCCTGCTGAGTTGGGGGAGTATATTGCTAGTGCTCCTCTCACGCCACTTGTTAAGCCTGGTGGTGGTATTCGTCCTATTGATGTGGGTACTGTTTGGAGGCTTCTGGTTTCAAAGGTTGGGGCTGCTTTAGTTGGTCCGCGTATGGGGAACTATTTAGGAGGTCTTCAGTTTGGTGTTGGGGTGCCGGCGGGTGGCGAGGCTATTCTTCATGCTGTTAATCGTTTGGTTGAGGCTCGAGGTGGTGATGTTGGCCTCTCTATGTTGCTGGTGGATTTCCGGAATGCCTTTAATTTGGTTGATCGTACGGCTTTACTGCGTGAGGTTCGTCTCCGTTGTCCAGCTCTTTCGCGTTGGGTTGAATTCTGTTACTCTACTCCAGCCAGGCTCTATTATGGGGAGCATACCTTAAGGTCATGTCAGGGTGTGCAGCAGGGTGATCCACTTGGCCCTTTGCTTTTTGCTTTGGTGCTCCATCCGTTGGTTTGTCAAATTAGGGATTCTTTTGACTTATGTTTGCAGGCTTGGTATTTGGATGATGACACTATTATTGGTGACACCTTGGTGGTAGGGAAGGTTATGGAGTTGATTTTGGTGGAGGGACCTCGTCTTGGTCTCCATGTTAACGTTGAGAAACGGAAGTTTTTTGGCCCACGTAGGACCCTCGTAGCCGTCTGGCCGGTGTCTTTCCTCCATATATTGCTCGTCCTGCTCATGGTGTTAAGTTGCTTGGGGGTCCTGTCAGTGCGGATGCCTCTTTCTGTGGTGAGCTTGTTTCGCAGAGGGTGTCGAAGACCATTGTGCTCATGGATGCTGTTGCTAAGCTTGAGGATCCCCAATGTGAGTTATTACTTCTTCGTGCGTGTACTGGAGTTTCAAAACTCTACTTTTCTATGCGCACTTGTCCTCCTCGTCTTTTTGAAGCGGCCCAGATTTCTTTTGATGTGGCCCTTCGAGGTTCTGTGGAGCGCATTGTAACTGCTTCGGGGCCAGGTTTTGGTGATTGGCAATGGCGCCTTGCCACCTTACCTTTTTCTTATGGAGGACTGGGTGTCTATTCAGCGGGTGATGTTCGACACTATGCTTTCCTTGCGTTGCGTTTGCAGTCTTCTGGTCTACAGGCTTCGCTTCTTCGCAATTCTGGTATTGTTGGTCCAGGTCCGGCCTTCGACGACGCTCTTAGTCTTTCTAATAGGACTGTGGAGACTGACCTTTTGCGTTACCCTGGTGAGATCGCTGCCCCCAAACTCATGAAGAAATTGGCAGATATATATTTCACAAAGGTCACTGCATCTGCAGAATCCACTTTCTCCTTGTCTCCGCGTCAGGTTGCCTTATGGAAGTCCCAGCAGGGGGATTACTCTTCTGCCTGGTTGCGAGCGGTCCCGATATCAGGTCTGGGTCAGACTATGAATGGTAAGACTTACCGTTGTGTTCTTTGCTACCGGTTGGGTGTTCCCTTGTTCTCCGTATCGGCACCTTGTTCTGCTTGCTCAAGAGTTTTTGATGGGGATATTTATGGGGATCATGCAGTGTCTTGTGCTGGGATGGTGGGTATTAAACATCGGCATAACGTTGTTCGTGATACCCTTGTTGATATTTGTTTCCGCTCTGGGATTTCTGCAAGGAAGGAGGTCAACGTTGGGTTAACTGGAGGGAACAACGGGGCTCTTCGGCCAGCAGATGTGTTGCTTAACTCCTGGGATAGAGGCCTAGATGTATGTGTTGACTTGACGGGGTCTTCTCCATTGACTCAATCTGGGTTGTCTGACTTCGTTCCTGGTCGTGTTATGTCGGCTGCGGCTCAGCGGAAGCGAGACAAGTATGGGGCGCGTTGCAGGGCTATTGGCTATGGTTTTCTTCCTTTCTCCTTTTCTTCATTGGGGGAATTAGAGAAGGATGTCGTTGCGTTGCTGAAGCGGGTTCAGGCGTTCGCTAGGACTCAGGATATTGGAGCTCGTGCGGCTGCTCACATCTTTAACAGGATTGGGTTCGCTATAGCTAGAGGGGTGGGGGCCCAGATTGTATCTCGGCTCCCCACTAATTTCTTGTAAATCTTTTGACTTTGTAGGTTTTTGTTATTTAATAATAATAATAATAATAATAAAGTGTGCAAAATTTATTTTTGGTAAATGTTTCTGTCCGACTAGCCTTGTATAATCCGAACTATATATATATGAATATGACTACATCAGACGATTGAAATAATTTGAACCTTCCATTGGGTGATCTGAAATCCGAATTGCCTGAACTAAAGTACGAGAAGTTTCATCTTTTAAAACTCGATTGAAAAAAACTTACAAAAAATTCAAATTTCTTTAAAAGCGGGAAAGAGTCTTCACCTTACTACAGAGTTTGATAATGGATTTCTATGCACAATCACAAAGAAAGAGAAAGAGAGAAGTGATGAAGGTCGAGAAATGGTCCAAGGAGGAATTACGCAATACGCCTAATACATGTATGTAAGTCATTCTTCTTCCTTAATTAAGCTTCTGATATCTTCGATTTTGCTAG